CGCAGCCTTTGGTTCTGTGGAGCAAGGGTCGGGGTGGGGTGGGGGGACTCCTGCCGTTGTCTAGATGTCAGGAGGAGGCCAAGAGGGGTAGGGGGCCCGGAGGCCCTGGTGGGCACGCTGGCCCCGGGGACGGGAGGACTTGTCACGCATGGTTGGCTGTGCCACTGCAGACGCTTTTGCCAGATGCAGGGTTCACGCCCAGAGCCCGCTGCACCCCTGCTCACTCTGCCCCGACCCCCCTTGCCTGCCTCGGGCAGAATCAGAGGTGATTATGAGGGGAGGGGCTTCCTTCTGGCCCCAAGTGGGAGGCAGCAGACGTCTGTGAGCCCAGACTCTCGGCCCTCCCTCCCCTCCCCCTTCCCACGTGCTCAGCAGCTTCTCATCCTGTCTCTTCTCTCTCTTCTGCTTCCCCTCCATTCCCCTCTTCCTTACCTGCCCTCCTCTCCCTCGCTCTCCTTTTCCCTTCCTTCCTGTGGCTGTTTTCTTGCAGTTTCTCTCCCTCACCCCTCTCTCTTCACCCCCTGCTCGCAGCCCCGGGGCCTGCTTTCCCCTCCACCCAGATGCCCAGAGAGGAGAATGGCGGGGGAAGCAGGGAACCCCCTCGATGGGGCAGCCCCAGCCCTCAGGTGCAGGCCGCAGGCCCCTGTCCACAGCCCCTGCCGCCCCCCTCACCGCCGGCAGGGGCTTATTCTGTGGGAGGCCTCTGGGGTCCTATTTCCTGGGGATCCGGCACCACAGGGCGTCACTCAGCGCGGCCCCAGCTCCGGGGCGCGCCCCGTGCTCACCACAGCCCGGCTGCCGTCTCATACTAGGCCCCCTCCTCGACCCCTCCCACAGGCGAGGCCCTGGGCCGGGCCAGCGTGGTGCCGCTGCCCTACGAGAGGCTGCTCCGGGAGCCGGGGCTGCTGGCTGTGCAGGGGCTGCCCGAGGGCCTGGCCTTCCGGAGGCCGGCCGAGTACGACCCCAAGGCCCTCATGGCCATCCTGGAGCACAGCCACCGGATCCGCTTCAAGCTCAAGAGGTGAGTGAGGCAGCCTGCCTGGGAGCGGCCCGGGGCCTGGTGGCTGGACCCTGGGGGCCAGGCCGGGCCGGGCGATGACCTGCTTCCGTGCGGGCTCAGCCGCTCGTGGCCGCTTGTCCTGCCCGAGGGCAGGGGACTTCAGACTCCCACAGGGGACCCTGGTTGTAAGAGCTCCCAGTCCGATGGCAGAGGTGAGGCAGAAACTCAGTCACAGAGCATGCTCTGAGCCAGGTGTGGAGTCACGGAAGTCTTCCCCGGGGGATTTCTGTGTTGCAGAGAGGCTTGGTTGGGGAAGAAAGCACCAGTAGCACTCCAGGTATCAGGAACAGCCCGTGCAAAAGCGTGGAGGCAGGAAGCCACATCGTGGGTGCTTGCTTGGGGTGTCAGCCGAGGGCTCCATTAGGGACTGACGGGCCATGAGGTCATGGAGGCTGGGCTGGGGAGAGTACCGATCTCTGGGGCAGCCAGGAAGCAGCCTGAGGGCTGAACGTGGCCCGTTGGGGCTCGGGCACCGCGGCCAGTGCACGAGCGATGTGTTAGCGAGTGCGAGACGATCAGCTGCAGCTGAAAGGATGTGATTGGTGGAGAGGGGGCACAGAGGCCAAGGGGCAGGGCCCAGGTCCTTGGGTGGCCCAGCCGTGTGGCCCTGGGCACGTCACACCCCCACCCGGGCCTGCACCCCGACCTGTAAAATGGGGACTGGTCCTGCATACCTGACAGGCTGTCGTGTTCTGCAGAGGGAGGTCTCGGGGAAGACATACCCCTGGTGGGACAGGTGGATGAAGCTGTCTCGTGTCCTTTCCTTCACCCAGGCCGCTCGAGGATGGCGGGCGGGACTCGAAGGCCCTGGTGGAGTTGAATGGCATCTCCCTGATAGCCAAGGGGTCTCGGGACTGTGGCCTGCACGGCCAGGCCCCCAAGGGGCCACCCCAGGACCTGCCCCCAACCGCCACCTCCTCGTCCGTGGCCAGCTTCCTGTACAGCACCGCCCTTGCCAACCGCACCGTGCGGGAGCTCAAGCAGGAGGCACCTGCCTGCCCTCTTGCCTCCAGTGACCTGGGCCTCGGCCGGCCTGGGCCTGAGCCCAAGGCCTCCGCTGCCCAAGACTTCCCAGACTGCTGTGGTAAGCTGCTGGGACTCCCGAGTCTCGGGGGTGGGGGGGTGGGACAGAGGTCACTCATGCAGGGGCAGCTTCCCAGGGCAGGTCGGGGTGCTCAGGGCTGCAGGGGGCACGTCGGAGCGAGGAGCTGGGGCGGGACAGAAGGCGTGGTAGCTCGGACTCAATCAGACCCCGGGCCTCTGCCCAGTCATCTGTGAACAGTATCCTTGGCCTGGGACCGAGAGATGCCCGAAAGGACTCCCAGGGGAGTCTGTGGAGGGAGAGAGTAGACATGCTAATCAGGTATGTGCATCTAATGAGCACCTACTACCTCCACCCAGTGTGGATTAGGGGTACTGGAAACATAAGAAAAGGAACAGCTGGATGTGAGAATGACCTGTGTCCATATTTTGGCCCCTCTACTTAATGGCTATGTGTCCCAGGGCAAATCTCTACCTCTTTGTGCCTCAGTTTCCTCATCCGTAAAATGGAGATGCCAATAGTACCTGTCTTGCTGGGCTGTTATCATGATGAAATGACAGATCACGTTAGAAATGCACATTCTCAGGCCCAGCCACAGCCCTGCTGAATCTGGCACTTTGGGGGCGGGGTGAGCCCCAGCTGCCTGCAAACTGACGAGTCCACCAAGTGTTTCCGACGGGTGCTCAAGTTTGAGAACCTCTGTATTAAAGCACCGAGTCCAGTGCTTGGCACAGAGTAGGTGCTTATAAGTTATACTTAACTGTTATTGTTATTATGAGAAGGAGAAAAAAGGACACCCCCTCCCCTCCACAGCCATGAGGGCTGAGCAGGGGGATGGGACTTATATGCCTGAAACAAGTGTCCCCATCTGTAAAATGTGACCTGGGACGTCCTGCCCTCCCCGATCTGCCATTCGGAGAGCACACTCTGCTAAAGAATGTCTCAGGCCTCTGGTCAGGGAACTTGCCTTGCGTTCATGGTCACAGGGCTCAGTCCTGGGTTCTCCCTGGTGGGGGAGACTGTTACCCCAGAGCCCCAGCCCACGCACTCAGGCCAGATCTGGGGAACCCCTCTTGGGGCCCACCTGGAACCTGTACCTTTCCGCTCCCTTGTCCAGGACAGAAGCCCGCTGGGCCTGGCGGGCCTCTCATTCAGAACGTGCACGCCTCTAAGCGCATCCTCTTCTCCATCGTCCATGACAAGTCAGGTAGGACAGTGCCCATGGCAGCACCCCGACCAGAGTGGGGATCCGGGACTGGGGTGGTGCTTATTACTGAAATGGATGTGTGTCCACTGGGTCTTTGTGAGAGAAAGGAGGAATGGCACCGCACGAGGGACTTGTGAGTGAAACCAGAGTAAAGCCGATATATAATAGTTACATACTGCTGCATGCCAAATTGCCCCCAAACGTAGCTTAAAATGGCAAGCATTTATACCTTATGGTTTCTGTGGGTGAGAATTCAGGAGCAGCTTAGCTGGGTGGTCCTGGCTCAGAATTTCTCAGGATGTCAGCTGGGGCTGTGATCATCTGAAGGCTCGACTGGGGCTGGAGGATCCACTTCCAGCTCACCCATGTGGCTGTTGGCAGGATACCTATTCCTTACTACCTGGGCCTCTTCGGGGCTGCTTGAGTGTCCTCACAACGTGGTGACTGGTTTCCTGGGGCTAGTGATCTGAGAGAGAGTAAGGAAGGAACCACGTCTTTTATGACCCAGCCTCAGAAATCACTGTCACTTCTGCCATATCCTACCCATTAGAAGTCAGGAACTTGGTCCAGTTCATACCCAAGGGAGAGAGAGGAATAAACTCCACCTCATGAAGGAACAAGGGTCAAAAAAATATGTAGACAGATTTTAAAAGTACCACACAGTACAGAGAACCAGAAGGTTTGGGATTCATTTGTACCAAAAAGGGATGTAGTGAGACTTTCCAGCAACTTTGCCTTGTGGAGGTCTCAGCCTCACCTTCAGTGAAAGGTTCTTTAAGAAACCTAGTTTCCTGGGATCAGAATGGAGACCACCACTGCCACAAACAAGCTGCATCCCAGGCAGGGAGGGGACCTGGATGTCCAGGCAGAGCGGCATTGTGGGAGGCCGTGGTGGGCAAGAGATACAAGCAGAGATAGAATCTCACCAGATACTAGCTGGGTGATCTCAGGCAAGTTACTCAGCCTCTTTGAGCCTCAGTTTTCCCATCTGCAAAATGGGAATAATATCTATTTCTGCACATTGTCCTGAGGGATTAACTAGGATATTATACATATTAAGTACTTAGCACAGATAAGTACTTAATAAATTAAAGATGTTCCTTTTATAATTTTAATGAACCAAATGATCGCTCTAGTTATTAATATTAAATTGAAGCAGAGGCTTTGGTTTTATGGGAGAGGCCAGCAGGGCTGAGGGTTCGAGGGACTCCCAACAGGGCCAAAGCTGGGTGAGACCCCGGGTGCACAAGGCATGAGGGTTAGGTTTTCAAGGTCAAGACTCAGGAGAGGCCCAGGATGGGCTGGCTGAGGCTGCACAATATCTGCTGCCATGGGGGTGGACAGAGAGACAAGAGGCAGCCAAGCCATGGGGTCCCTGCTCCGACGGGCCCTCACTTGTACCTCCTGTGTTTTGATAGAGAAGTGGGACGCCTTCATAAAAGAAACCGAGGACATCAATACGCTCCGGGAGTGTGTGCAGATCCTGTTTAACAGCAGATATGGTGAGTGGGCGGCGCGGCCCATGGTGTGGCCCCAGCAGCGCACTGAGCATCTCATTATGTGGCAGTCACTCGTGTTCCCCAACATGATGGTGGGAGCCATATGCTGGCACCACGCGCCGTCAATGCAAATGTCATCTCCTGTCTGGGTAGGGGGTGGTTGTGTCAATATTTCCCTCCCAGATTCTCCAGGGGGCGGGACTGATGGCAAAGCCCCAGACCTTGGCTCACCTGTGGGAGGCGGGCCGCTTGGGGGGGCGGTGGCGACCATCCAGGAAAACGGCTGTTGGCCTCTTGTGCCTGCAAGTCCCCCACGCACCACCCTGTCTCCTGCCTCCTCACCTTTGCCCGTGCCGTGCCCCCTGCCCAGCATGCCCTTTGCACGTACTGTGGGCAGACTCCTACCTGTTCTTCAAGACTCAGCTCTTAAAGCTCTGATGGTTTCCTCTCTGTTCCATGTCGCACGCTTGATGTACCTTGTCTGTATCTGTCCCCGTGAAAGCCAGGACAGCACCGGCCCCTCTGTGCCCCCAGCACCCAGGACAGAGCCGAGCTCAGAGCACGTGTCGGCTCACTGCACTCTGGGCAGCAGACACAGGTGGTAACTGGGGCAGGGGTGCCCTCCATGTGGTAGAGCTTCAGCCAAGTGCAAAGTGTAGCCACTCGTTGGCTAGACAGCAGGGGCTGGACCAGACAGACCTGTAAGCCCTTCCTGCTCTGGGTCCTGGAACCCCCGAGTGCCCTCCCACACCTGGTCTCCTTTATTCCCTCAGCAGTCCTCGCTCACTCTCACTTATTCGCTCAGTCTCTGCTGCGCTCCGTCTATAAGCCCCGCTCAGTGGTCAGATGCAGCGTGGCTCTGGCCAGGGTGGGTGGCTCTCAGTCACTGCGGAGATGATGCAGGTACCCACAGATCACTCATCACGCAGGCGTGATGTCATTGAACCCCACTTGAATCACGCAGCCCCTCTCTGGGGCAGCCCCTCTGCGTGATGGGACCAAGGGAGGGGGCTGGGGGTAGGGGCACCACCCAGAGCTGCAGGGACAGAGAGGAGGGCCCCGGGCCGCCTACATGTGCGGGTCAGGGGAGAGCACTGCCCTGGGAGTCCACGGACGCTTGCTGGATGCCCTGGAGATGGCCAGTCCCCCTGCCTAACACTGGCTTTCTCACCATGAGCAGACCAGACCTGCCGGGGTAGGGCTTCACTGCCCTCCCTGCCCTCCCTCCCCTCCTGCTTGGCTACGAAAAAGCCTCTCTCTCTACTCACAACACTTCTGACAGCAGGAGTGTGGGTTTTCCACGCCACACAACCCTCCAGTTCTCTGTGGCCACCAGCTGGGGGCCCTACAACTCCATTCAATTCTGACCCTAACTCCCCGGAGTTACACAGACCCCTCCCCAGGTTAAAGGCTCAGTCCCCCGAGGCAGCACCGCACTTCAGATGCCAGTCACAAGTAGTGGGTCCCCAGGGTACCCACACTTCCATCCAATTTGGCTGTACACCCGTGGCTCCCAGGACCCCCCTCCGCGGGTTCGGCAGTTTTCCATAATGGCTCATAGAACTGCGGGAGGAAACACTTTGCTTCTGTTGACCTGTTTATTACAAAGGATACAGATGAACAGCCACATGGAGAGGGACATGGTGAAAGGCCCGGAAGGGTGTTGAGCACAGGAGCTTCTGTCCCCGTGGAGTCTAGGGTGCACCAGCCTCCTGGCACGTGGAAGCTCTCTGAACCCCTTCGGTTAGAGTTTTTACAGAGGTTGCATTAAGTAGGTGTGATTGATTTAACCATTGGCCATTGGTGATGAGCTCAGCCTCCAGCCCCTGTCCCCTCCCAGGAGCAGGGGATGTTTCCAACCCTCTAATTGCGTTTTTGGTTTTTTTTTAATTAGTTTATTTATTTTTGGCTGCGTTGGGTCTTCTTTCTTTAATTTTATTTTTAATTTATTTATTTTTGGCTGCCTTGGGTCTTCTTTCTTTAATTTTATTTTTAATTTATTTATTTTTGGCTGCCTCGGGTCTTCGTTGCTGCATGCAGGCTTTCTCTAGTTGCGGCAAGCGGGGGCTACTCTTCCTTGCGGTGCGCGGACTTCTCACTGTGGTGGCTTCTCCTGTTGTGGAGCACGGGCTCTAGGCACATGGGCTTCAGTAGTTGTGGCACATGGGCTCAGTAGTTGTGGCTTGCGGGCTCTAGAGCGCGGGCTCAGTAGTTGTGGCTGGCGGGCTTTAGAGTGCAGGCTCAGTAGTTGTGGCACACAGGCTTAGTTGCTCCGCGGCATGTGGGATCTTCCCGGACCAGGGCTCGAACCCGTGTCCCCTGCATTGGCAGGCAGATTCTTAACCACTGCGCCACCAGGGAAGTCCCTCTAATCGCGTTTTGAGCCCCCTACCTTGTGCCAGGTACTCAGACCAACTCTGGTCTCAAGGTGCTTCAGCAAGTGGCTGAAGGTGGGTCTGCAGTACACGCAGTGGTGTACGGTAGTACGTTCGAGTATGTAGTAACGTGCAGGGGTGGGGGCCCTCAGAAAGGGAGGACGGCTCAGAGGAAGGTGAGGTTTCTCGATAGGCTTGGGGAGTCAGGGGAGGCTTCATGGAGGAGGTGTTCTTTGATCCACCCTGGGGCCTGGGAGGCTTGGTCACGTGGGCTTGGTGGGCTGGGCCATCCTGGTTGGGGTGGGGCTGAGCGAGGCCCTGTACTGCAGGGGGCTGTCTGTACCCAAGTTTCTCCCCTCCCTCCCTAGACAGGTGTGAGCAGGGCGGGGAGTAGGGAGAGGGGAGCTGGGGAGGGCTGGCTCTGTCCACATTGGGTGGGTTCTGCCCCACCCCTGCGGGCATGACAGCTGCCAGTCTTCCAGTCTGTCGCGCGTGCTGGATGTTTCCAGAATGTTGAGCCTTTCCTAGAGGTCAGCACTTGGGCCCACCACCATGGCCAAATCCAAGGAGGAGTATTGGGCTTGGAGTGGTTGAGACCTTGCCCCTACTCAGGCCAGAGCTCCCTCTGAGCTGTCCCTTCAGCTGCCCTGGGGAGAGGCTGCCGCCCCGCCCCCCCGCCCCCGTGAGTACTGGGGGTTCCTGTGGCAGGGGTGGGGATGTTTGGCAGCCTGAACAATCCTGCAGATCCAGGACGAGCAGGTCCTGCTCCTGGTTCGCCCTTTCAGCTACCAGCTCCGGGCCAACTGGGCCAGCAATGTTGCTGGGGGTGCAGAGATTACACCAGGGTCTAAGGATTGTGCATGGCGGCTCCATCCTCCTCTTTCAAGTGGGCAGCAGCTGGAGGCTGGGTGGGCTGGAGCTTTTGTGCCCTGGGCTGAAAAGACAGGCCTAGCAAGTCAGATGAACCCGAGGGGAGGTGGATTCACGTAGACTCGAAGAAGCCAAGAGCCCATCGCTCAAGTGCTGGGGCTGGGGGGTGGCTGGTGATGCTGGGGTTCGGGGGAAGAGATGGTTTGACAGCTGCTGAGATGGTGAGGGTTTAATTAGACGATGAGCTAAGTGTGACTTCACAGTGGGATCTGGCTGCCAAAGCCTCCAGCGCAGACCTGGGCCGCATCAACAGAAAAACAATCTTGGCGGTGCCCCAGGGAGGGCCACAGACAGGTGACTCTGCCCTGCCCTGGTCCTGGCATGACTGCAGGGGTCCGGCTGTGGTCTGGCACTTGTCAGAACACAGACACATCCTGGTGTGGCCCGAGGAGCCAGGCCAGGATGGAGAGGGGCCTGAGGAACAGTGAGGAGACGTGGAACCCTTGGGACAGGTTGGAGTGACCCTTGGGAGAGGCAGGAGTGAAGGGGACACCCAGCTCAGCTCGTCTCCCAGGCCTTGGGGCCCCATGGAAGTACCATCAAGCACATAGTAGGTGCTCAAGAAGTGAGTGGTGAGTGAATGAATGAAAAGGAGGAGCTGGGGTGTATGAGTGACTGAAACGGCACGGGACCGCACCTAATGGTTTGGAGGAAAAGAGGAAGTAACCAGTTCCTGAGCTCGGGTTCTGTCTACACTGCTGTCGACAAAGCTGTCAGCTTCCAGCGGTGTCTCATGTCACTGACGAGTGAGCAGAGTGCTGGGCCCCTCCCTGGAGGAAAGGGCACACCTGTACAACTGGAAGCATCTTGCCAAGAGTCCACCTGCAGCCTGGAAGCTTCCCTCAGCCGCTCATTCACTCCCAAATATGCAGGAAGCAGCTGCTACGTGTCCTGCCCTATTTAGGCTCCAGACAGTGAACCAACGCACAGATGAATACGTTTGTAATGTCAGATGATGATAAATGTGGGATGAAAAACAAAGCAGGGTGGGCTAGGGAGGGCTGGAGGGGGCTATTTGAGGCTGGTGAAGTGACATTCGAGCAGATGCTTGAACGGAGAGAGGGAGGGAGGGAAGGGTATGGTGATCTGGACAAAGAGTGTCTGAGTGGACAGAAGAGCAGGTGCAAAGGCCTTGGGATGAGTGCGTGCTTGGCGTGTTAGGGAAGCAACGAGGAGGCCAGAGAGACCGGGGTGAGCAAGTGGAGGGGAGAAAGATGGAGATAAGGCCAGAGGTGATGGGGTCCTGGTCACGTAGGGCCTTGTAGGACTTTGGCCATTGCTGAGTGGGAGGGGAGCCTATGGGCATTTTTTAAGAGAGTCGTGATGTATTTGGTGTTGCAGGAGGATCCCTCTGGCTGCTGAGTGGCCAGAGCGGTGCCTGGGAGGTGGGAGGTGGTGATGACCAGGCCCTGGGGCCCCGCACGTCCCGCAGCCTCCATCCCGCGTTCAGCCCTGCCGTTGCCCTTCCAGCGGAAGCCCTGGGCCTGGACCACATGGTCCCCGTCCCCTACAGGAAGATCGCCTGCGACCCGGAGGCTGTGGAGATCGTGGGCATCCCGGACAAGATCCCCTTCAAGCGCCCCTGCACCTACGGGGTCCCCAAGCTGAAGCGGATCCTGGAGGAGCGGCACAGCATCCACTTTGTCATTAAGAGGTAGGGGGTGGGGGGCAGGGCTGAGCAAGGGGCGACAGCAGGCATGAGGCAGGGCCCTGGGGAGGCAACAGGGGTCAGGAGTGGAACGAAGGGGTTCTGTAACCTGACAGCTACGTGGCCTCCTCCTTCTGGCCTCTTTTGAGTATGGAATGGAAAAATGGAGGCACAGTGCCTGACCCGAGTAGGCGCTGGCTAAGTTCTTAGAGGTGTTTTCCTGCCACTAAAGAAGACCTGAGGCCTTTGTACTTACCTCCCTTCAGAGAGGAGCCCACCTGAGCTCAGGTGGGGCTGGGCCAGCCTCTCACTTTCTGCACCTCCCATCGGACTACCCTGCCTGCTGGTAGTTTGTCCACCTTTCCTGTCCTCCCAGGTGGCCAGTTTCCCTGGTGCAGGTGCGGGTGGGCGGGAGAAGGCAGAGCACTATGGAACTGCAGCCCCTTCCCCCCGGCCTGCTGCCACCCACCCCCCTGGGAGAGTTGTCTCCCAACTCTCACAGGGCGCTTTGTCCTCACAGCTGGCCGGACTCACCAGCGAGCAGGCATCTCCAGGCAATGCCAGGCTTCCTGGGATGCTTCCTCCTAAATAGTTAGAGAGGGAGGGGGCCAGAGGCCATGCCATCCAGCCCCCTGCCTCCAGCAGCACTGCCTGCATCGGGCCCTTCCCAGGCATCCATTCTGGGAGCCCGCTGAGGGCGTGCTCCCAGCGTGTGCATGCGCCCACGCGCCTGCCTGATGGTTTGTTGCCCTAGACTGTAAGCAGGGACTGTGTGGCTCGTTGCTGAATCCCCAGCGCGCACAGCAGTCCCTGGCATGCGGGAGATGCCAGTACATATCTGTGGAATAAAAGGATGGATGGATGAAAGTGCTTGTCCAAATTTGGACTCAGGCCATCTAACTTATTAGAGCTTAGGAAATAAACAGGGTAATAGGAGAGAGAAAAATGGTGGGTGGGTGAGGAGACCTGTTTAGGGTGGCCCGGGGGCCTCTGAGAGAAGGTCCCATTGGTTAAGCCAGAGCTGGGAGGTTGAGAAGGCCGCCTGCACCCAGCTGGGCAGTGTCTGGGCAGAAGAATTGACCTCAGTGAGCAGCCCAGACGGCTGGGGTGCAAGAGGGTGGGGATTGACCCTGAGAGCGTGGAGTTGTTCTGAGCCTTGGGAAGGACCTCTGCACGGTTGCTGGATGCCAGAGCTGGGGTCTGCCCGGCTCCCTGGCTGCTGGGGGAGAACGGACTCTAGAGAGCAGAAGCAGGAGACTGGCGAGGGGGCTGCTGCAGCCGTGGGCCAGACCAGCGTGGTGGGCACAGGGAGAGCGGGCTGGGCTGGGGATGGAATCTGAGCGGTGACGGGGTGTGCTGGTGAGTGGACCGTGCAGGTGGGGAGGGGAGTGGGGAGGAAGGGTCACCTCCATGTTTCTGAGTGAGTTCACCTTGGGGGAGATCAGGAGATGGAATTTTCAGAAGCCCAGCTGAGAGGTCAGAAGCTCGGGAGGGAGGTCTGGGAGTTAGAGATAAAAATCTGAGAGTTGGCAGCGTGGGCCAGGAAGGGATCACGGGCAGGAGAGAAATAGAGAAGAGAAGAGAGGGGCAATTCCCCGGCTGTCCAGTGGTTAGGACTCCACTCTCGCCTGCTGAGGGCCCGGGTTCAATTCCTGGTCAGGGAACTAAGATCCCACAAGCCATGCAGTGTGGCCAAAAACAAAAAAAGAAAGGAAAAAAAAAAGAGAAAAGGTGGAGAGGACTCAGATGGACTCTGGGATCCCCACGTTAGAGGCTGGGGCCGCCAGCAGAGGAGGCTGAGAGTGGCCAGGGAGCTGGGCGGGCATCTCACTGCCACCGAGGGAGGTGACTCTGAGAGTCAGCTCTGACTGTGGGGCACGCCTGCTCAGAACCCTTCCCCGCTCCCCCACTCTCCGTGAGCCCCGGTGTAACGGCTCCCAGGGTACCACACTCCAGCCCGTCAGCAGCCACCGTGCCCGCCTTAGTGCCGCTCCGCCTTCCCTCCTGTTTCTCTGAACTCCTGCCTCCTCACGTGCCTCCAGCCATCGCTGAAGCCCTTTCCTTTGCCTGGAGCTGCTCCCCGCCCTCCTTCCCACCTGTCCTGTCTTTCAAGGCTCACTATTCTGTCTAGAAGCCCTCCCCTGTCCTCAGTCGGAAAGAATTTCCCCCTTCCGCAGCAGATGGCTTCTTCCCCCCATCCGCGTCCTCACCAGCCCCCCATCACCCTGATCACTGGCGGCAGTGGGACCACATCTGAGCCACCTCTGTTCCCTCTCAACCCCTACCAGGGGTCCCACTTGATAAATCATTCTGGAGGTGAATTTGAAATCATTCGAGGGAATTCCCTGGCGGTCCAGTGGTTAGGACTCTGCACTTCCATTGCTGAGGGCCTGGGTTCGATCCCTGGCTGGGGAACTAACATCCCGCAAACCGAGTGGCGTGGCGGGGCCAAAAACAAAATCATTCGGCCTTCTGCCAGGCAGTGCCTCCTGTTGTCTAGCTTAAGTCTCTCTTGCTGCTGCCTAAGTCCTTTTCCTTCAGTTGACTCCTGGTAGCAAGGGAGGAGGCTAGGAGAGCAGAAAGCAGCAAGGGCATCCCAGTGACCCCTTACATTCCTGACCGTGGTATTTGAGTCCTCACTGTGGCTGACCTTCATCTCCCTCTATCCAAACTGTAGGTCGTTTAATCCTTCACTAGTATTTGCCAGGCGCCTCCTGCAGGCCCAGCCCTTCACTGAGCTCTACTGAGGACTTCACGAAACAGCAGGCACAGTCCCCACCTGCCCCCAGGGGCTACCGCGAGTCATGGGGGGTGGTCACTCCTGTGATGAGTCGTGGGAGCATCAAACAGCATGTTTCCAGGTGTAGACTCGATGGCATCTGAGCAGCAAGCCTGTGGGGCTTCCTGGAGGAGGAGGCTTGGCATCAGGCCGACTGGGCTTGAAGCCACACAGCGCACGATAACCTTGACTAGCCCTTCTCTTCTGAGCCTCAGTTTCCTCATTTGTAAAAATAGGGACAATGATGCCCTATTCCTCAGGTTTTTCTCAACATAGTATGAGGAGGTAGACATAACATACCTGGCATGAAATAGATGCTCAATAAACGCGAGTCTCCTCCCTTGACCTCATCTCCTTCACGTATAGAGAAGTAGTTAATCAGTGCTGACAACCCGGGTTCGAATCCTGGCGCTACCATTTTCCAGCGGTGTGTCCTTGGGCAAGTTACTTAACTGCTCTGCCTTACTTTCCTCGTCTATAAAATGGGGCTAATGAGGCAAATTCCCTGGCGGTCCAGTGGTTAGGGCTCTGCGCTGCCACTGCAGGGGGCATGGGTTCGATCCCTGGTTGGGTAATTAAGATCCCACATGCTGCACCGTGTGGCTAAAGAATAAAATAAAATAAAATGCGGCTAATGATTGTTCAGGCCTCATAGTGCTGATGGGAGACTACATGGATGTGAGCAAGGTGCTTAGAACAGAGGCTGCTCCCTTCTGAGCCCCAGTGCATTTTCACCGTTGCACACCCCAGCCTCGTCAGGGAGACATTTGAGATCACATTTGCAATCGTCCTAGCAGAAGGGAGTCAGAGAACAGAGAGCTTAGGAAGCAGCCAGGAGGGGGAGTTGCCACCCCAGCCCGGGTGTCTGCGGTGGGGGGGAGGTCAGGGTGCTCTCCTGACAAAAGGGAGAAGCCCCTCTACAAGGCTTGTGGGTCTTGTTAGTGGAAGGGGGTTTCCTGGCCCCTGGGTCCCCAGTCATGCCCAGCCCTGACGCCTAAATCCCCGGTTCCCCCCAGGACACAAGCCCAGAGCGAGAGGCTCTGAGTTCACGTGTGTCGGTTCTACCTAAGGGAGGACTTCAGAGGGAAAAGTGTCTGGAGGGGGTCCTAGAACTCTGCAGTGTGCAACAGTGACCCTTGTTCAGTGCTCATCAGGTGGGCCTTCCAGGCCGGGCAGCCCATGAGGGCGTCTGTCACAGCATTGGAGCCACGTCAGATCAGACTTTCTCCCTGTCATCTGTCTCCCCCCTCCCCGCCCACCAACTCCACTAGGAACTGCAGGCCAAGGTGTCACACCCCCTCCCTTGTGCTCCCTGATAAGTAAATATAACCATAAATAATAAAACCTGCTGTTAATGCTGGGAGCCTCCCCGTCACTGGGTGGAGCTGAGGAAGCATGCCTCAGAGTGGAAGCCAGTTCTCTCCAGAATTATTCCCTGTGGCTGCTTCTCGGCCTTGGGGGACCCAGACGAGCATGAACCTCCAGGAACAGTGGGGGAACCTTGCGCCTCTCAGAGTAAGAACAGGACGCCATGCTTGGGGTCTCACCGCCCTGGTAACCCACGCTCTGCCCTCTGTCACTGACCTTTTTGCCTCTGTTTGAATTTCCCTCTGGGCCCGCCTTGGGCACTGTCGGCCCCCTTGTATTTGGACTCAGACAAGCGGGACTTCATTTGTCCCATGTCGCCTCTGGGGGTGCCAGTTTAGTGGCCAAAGCCCTGTCCCCTTGTCCAGCCGCTCCATGGCACACAGGCTCTGCTGCAGGCCCCCCAGAACAGCTGCCTGAGGCTCCCCAACCCCCTGGGAGCCACCCTAGTGGGGTCTGGGAGCAGAGCAGAAAGCACAGCAGCCCGGCAGGTAGGCAGCCAGGTGATCCCAGCTCCCTCGCTAACCTTTACTCCATCCTCGTTTTCCAGGAATAAGAATTCCAGGTGTCTTAACAGGATGACTCAGGAGTCCCCAAATGGCCCCTGGGCCCCTAGCCATCCCCCCTCCAAGCCATCCTCTGTGTGGTGATGGAGTGATCTGAGGGTGCCACGCCCCCTGGGGGCTCCCCGTTGCCCACGGTGTAGAGACCACGTGCCTGGGCACAGCACTGAAGGCTGGTCACCTCCCACAGGACGCCTCCAGCCGGCCAGATGGAGCCGCCAGCCCTCCCTGTGCCTTTACCTGGACAACCTCTCAGCCCTCCCCCCTGGGCTCGCCATCCCCAACTCCGTGAAGTCTTTCCTGACCCCCTCCCTGCTTGGGTTCCCCTTGGCTTCTGAGACAAACCTGAGGGGTCCCACATGTCACGCTGTGAGGCTGTGATCTGGAACGCTCCTGGCTTGTGCCATCGACAGAGAGCTTCCTGGGAGCAGGGCCTACCCCTTGCCTGTCACTGCGACACACGTGGTGGTGGGTAAAGGCTGCGGAGCCCTGGTGGGAAAGGGGTGTGAGTTATCCGCCAGCTGTGGCCGAGGAGAGCTCAGGGCCGGAGGAAGCCCCGCCCCCCAACCTGGGTTGTTGAGATGAATAGGTTGGACCCTCCAGGACCCCCACAGGGGCTGGCCAGTGCCTTCCCTGGCTGTGGAGAAATGGTTCGGGATGTCTGGTTGTTCGGGGGTATCTGGCTGTTCTGGACCGTGCCCTCTTCTGCCCCCATGTGAGGCCAGCCCGGTGCCCAGGTCTGCAGCCATGCATGTGGGACTTGAGTGACCGTCACTGAGGGGACCTGGAGGCCGGCTCCCCTCTCATGCCCATCTCTCCTCTCTCCCCAGGATGTTCGATGAGCGAATTTTCACAGGTATGTGTGGGTACCGTCTAGTCTGTTCTGAAGCCACCAAGCTGATGCCCCCAAGAGCGCTTGAGCTGCCACCACACCGGACCCAAGGGAGCCTGGGTGTGGCTTCTGTATCCGGGGGCCCCAGCTTCCAGGCGCAGACAGACTGTCAGGACATCCCCTCCAGACATGGGAAGCCCTGGATGGGGAATAATAAAGCTAACATTTGCTGAATACTAACATGTGATGGCTACTCTCCTAAGCTGTTAGCATATTTAATTTTAATTTAATTTAGTTTTCAACAGTCCTATAAAGTGGGTTCTGGTTTTTTCCCTGAAGTCTAGCTAGTGAGCACTGGGGTCTAGACGCAAACCGAAGTGCCCAGGCCATGATCAGTGGGTGGCCTGCCTCTCAGGAGGAAGAGGCGGGCTCTGCCAGGTGCAGCAAAGGGAGCATGGATCTTGGGGGTGCAGCATATCTGAGTCCCAATACCAGCCCTACCTCCCCCCAGCTTTGGGACCTTGGGCACGGTCATGTGGGCCTCAGTTTCCACATCTGTGAAAAGATAAGAGCACCATCCTCTGGGTTCCTGGGATAACTAAATGAGAGAATGGTCCCATGGTACAGCCTTGGGAGAGACTCAGTCCCTTTCCCAAGGGCTCCCTCAGCCCCAGTAGCATAGCCCCTGTCCTGAGGTCAGGACAGCCGTTTCTGGCTTCTTCCTCCTGCCAAATCCTCTGAGATCCCCGGCATCCTTATTCCTCATCCCAGGAGAGGCATCTCTCCCTGGACCCCTTCCTGGCTTGGCTGGACATGGAGGCCACAAGAAGGAGGAACAGAGGCCAGACCACGCCTGAGGGGTGCCCCCAGGAGCTTCCCCCAGAGACCCCTGCTGGGTGCCCCGCAGGCAGAGGAGGCTGGAGAACCTTCGCCTTGACCACCCTGCCCCTCCCCGGCTCTCCCCTCAGGGAACAAGTTTACCAAAGACCCCACAAAGCTGGAGCCAGCCAGCCCGCCCGAGGACATCTCTGCGGAGGTCTCCCGTGCTGCCGTCCTGGACCTGGCTGGGACTGCTCGGTAAGGCCACACCCCAGCTCTACGCCAGCTCTGCAGGGAGGAGCGAGGCCTAGGGCTGGCTGGAGGATGCTGGGCCCAGCGTCTCACTCCACCTGGACACCCTGCACAGGGTTATCCCGCACAGGCACCTGTGCGCCTCACCCCACTGTGGGCCAGGGAGAATCTAAAGGGACCCAGAAGGAGAACAGAGATTTCGCCAATTTTCTTCCACCTGGAGGATTCTTGTCACCCCTTGGGAGCTAGCCATACGTTATCTAGACTCAAAAGCCTTCCCTGGCACCCAGACTAGGTCAGGAATCTGCCCTGCATGTCCACAAGGCCTCGCACTCAGCTCACGGCCTGGTCGCCATTCACCAGTGCCCCCCACCCAGGCCCTGGGCTCCTGGGGGCCAGGGATGGGCCATCCCAGAATCCCCACATCCAGCCCAGGCCTCCCCGACAGTGTTCTATGAATGAACCGAATCCTCCATCCCAGGGTCCTGCCCAGCTTCACTCCCCAAGCCCCTCCCCAGACTCCTGAACCCTCTCCAGGCGGGTGGTCCCTACAGCTCTCAGTGCCCCCAACAAGCACTGATCAAACCCCCACGGCACTAAGGGGTGGGGCTCCTAGACTGGCCAGTCCCAGGCCTCAGGAGCTCCCAGCTGGTGGGCAAGGTGGATGCCCAGCACGTCACCCCAGGGTACAGATCAGGAGCTCGGCTGGGGCAGCCAGGAGACTGCTGTCTGGGAGACGGGGCACTGCGAGTATTGCTGGCGTAGGGGGGGAGCGGCGTGGATCCCGCTGGGATGGGAGCAGATGTGGTCAGGGGTGCATTTTGAATTGGCAGCCGCCGTGGGCCCCTGTCTGCTTGGAGGGGGAAAGCTGGGGCTGATGCCGTGTCATTTCTCGGCTTCCTTCCCACAGGTCGGACAAAAGCAGTCTCTCTGAAGACTGTGGGCCAGGTGAGGAGCTGGACCCCACTGTGCGTGTCTGAGGTGGGAGGGCGTCCACCAGCCCCACTCAGCAGCTCTGGGGAGGAGGCCAGCTCAGACCACGAACCTGGGGATTCATGAATGTCCTCCGTCCACCCCTGTCCCCTGACCCTCCCCCAGGCCGCAGAGCATGATGGGAGCTCGCTGGGGGCCGGGAGGGGCAGGTGGGATGTGGGTGGCTTTGTGGGAGACCTGGATTCAGGTATCACCTCTGCCTCCACATCCTTGGTGATGCAGGCCTCAGTTGCCACGTCTATACGTTGTATCTACCTATAGCTCAGACACTAGGGCTGACATGACTTTTCCTGGCACTACTAACAAGTCACAGACAGGAGAATGTTCAAGAATGACTCCCCTGCCCGGCCGAGCTCACGCCCACACTTGACCAGATCCCTCGTTTCCCCCCTCACAGGAACCTCTGGGGAGCTGGGTGGGCTGAGACCCATCAAAATTGAGCCAGAGGATCTAGATATCATTCAGGTCACTGTCCCAGGTAAGGGCTGATCCTGCCACCCCCACCTGAAGGTACAGGGGTTGAGCACCACCGTGTCCCCTCCCGGGCTGTCCTGTTCTGTCTCTCGAGCACCTGCCCCGGCCCAGAAGGGGTCGCCAGGCCGCTGTTTCTCTGGTCTGATCGTGAAAGGGTGCAGCAATGCGTGTGCTTTCTGTAGCCACATCTGCCCTCTGGGCTGGGGGTCAGGTCTCAGCTCCGACCTTCCTAAAGGTCCCCCCAGCCTTCACCTCTCTGGCCTGGCTTCCCTGGGATTTGAGGGGCTGCGAGGGAGAAGAAAAGGTCATTGGAGTAAGAGGATCTGAGTCTGACTCCAGACCTGGGTCCCTCTGAGCATCAGTTTCCACATCTGTGAAGAGGGGCATGTACTTGTCATCTGGAGGCTCAGTATGGGGTAACCACAGGCTCCAGGCCCCTTGGGTCCCCGCTGTCCTCTGGCACAGCTACCCTCCCAGAGTCCAGGGTACAACTTCCTTAAGGGTCCTGCTCTGTGGGCATGCTGGGCTGGGAGGTCCCTGAGGGACCGTGACGGGGTGGCACAGACAGAAGATGCTGTTGTCATTTGGAGTTTTGCCTCCAGACCCTTCCCCAACCTCTGAGGAAATGACAGACTCGATGCCTGGACATGTGCCCTCGGAAGATTCCGGTTACGGGATGGAGATGCTGACTGGTAAGAAATGGGCTGGGGGCCCACCTCCCTGGGATGTAACAGGGAGAGGGGTGGGCCAGAAAGCCTCTAGACTTTTCTTGGTATTGACTGTCCCCCTTGGAAGAAACTCAGTATATGCCTGGCTCCCCCATCCAGGCCAGGTTCCTCTCTGAAAACTTGAAATAGGCCTTTGAGTTAATATTAAGTCTGGTTACTATGTGTTTCCCAGGAGCTCCCATTTGGATAAATTTGTTTATTTATTCAATAACTATTTTTTGAGCACCTATTATGTACAAGGTCCCATGCAAGGTGCTGGGGACAGAGCAGTGAACCCAACAGACCAAAGTCCCCGCCCTTGTGGGCTGACATCGCAGTGCAGGGAGACAGGTAGTAAGCAAATCAATAAGAAAAATAGGGGAATTCCCTGGCGGTCCAGTGGTTAGGATTCCAGGCTTTCACTGCCAGGAGCCCGGGTTTGATCCCTGGTCAGAGAACTAAGATCCTGCAAACTATGCAGTGTGGCCCCCCAAAAAAGGGAAAAGAAAAATAGAAAGTCAGATGGTGGTAAGTGCTATAGGGAGACACAAAGCCAGGAGGGGAAGTGTGAGGGGCAGGAGGGCTGGTTATTACAGGATTTGAGTGGTCAGAGAGGACCTCACTGAGAAAATGACATTGGAGCAAAGACCTGAAGGAGGTGTGGGCAGGAGCTGTGTGGATATCAGGACAGAACTTTCCAGGCAGAGGGAGCAGCATGGGCAAAGGCCCTGAGGTGGGCTATGCCCAGCATGTCTCGGCAACAGCAAGGAGGCCGGGTGGCTGGAACAGAGTGAGGTGGGGAAAGGGAGGTGGTGGGTGAGTTATGCAGGGTTGTGTACATCAAAGAAAGGACTGGAGACTTAACTCTGAAGAGACAGGAACCAGTGTGGGGGTTGGCGCTAATGGAGTACATTTTAACAGTGTTTACTCTGACCATGGAGCTGAGAACAGACTGCAGAAAGTCTGGGGACAAGGACAGAAACAGACTGACCATAATTTAGGCAAGAGGAATGGTTGGGCAGGTGGATAGCAGCAGGGAGAGGGTAGGGTTCTGTGTGTGTTGTTTTTGAAAGTTTATTTTGGAAATGTTCAAAACCACCCAAAGTTGAAAAGAATAGCTTAATGAATCTCACATGCCCAACTCTCAGCTCCAGCCATTCTCAACAGATGTTATTATTGATAATAAGAAGTAAGAATTATTACACGTAGTTAATGTTTTTAAAAAGCGAGTCATTATAGGACTTCCCTGGCGGTCCAGTTGTTAAGACTCCGCGCTTCCACTGCACGGGGCACAGGTTTGATCCCTGGTTGGGGAACTAAGATCCCGCGTGCCGCGTGGCACAGCCAAAAAATTAAAAAAAAAAATTTTTAAGTGAATCATTATAAAGACAAATAGTATGTAAATTATAGAAGGTTTGTGGATATGGCAGAAAACGATATTAGTACTTAGATGATTTGAGTTTGGAAGGCTCTGTAACAAGGGATGCAGGGCCAGGGCAGGAAACTTTAGGAAGACGGCTGGAATTTGTTTCCCTTGCCTGTGATGTCTGGTGTGGGCTTGATTAGGAGGGGAGAGGGGTGGGTATTGCTTAATGATACTGTGCAAAAGCATCGTAGGTGTATTTAAATGAACAGTGTGAAGAAATCTCATAATGTTCAATGTGAACAGTAAGTGCAGAAGGATATAGACAATATAGCATTTCTATAAATTTGGAGATGTAAAAATAGTATTGCTAATGTTTTATTTTTAAAAATCGTGTGCAAAAATGACAAGATGCTAATGTGTATTCATTCCGGCTGATAGGTCCATGAGTGTTTGTTACAATATTCTGTATGCTTTACTGCACTTTTTAACATTTCCCCTACCAAAAATAAACAAGTGACTGGAAAAATAAATAAGAAGGTTTCCTACAGGCCCAGACGGGTGGTGCCGCGTTAATTGGTGACAGAATAAAGGCAGAATATCTCTGCTCCTCGTCTGCTTCCGTCTTCTCTGTCAGGGAGAATGGTCTGGAAACAGGAAAGAG